AAATATTTAAAATATATAAATGACTAGATACAAATATTGCATAGAAATGTACATTGCAAAATATAGATATAAATTTAATAAATAAATACAATAACTACATATTAATAAGGATCATAGGAGGGTAAAACGGAGTTCCTACTTACAATAAGAATTAATTTGTAAGATGGCAACATTAAATGGTACGAGAAAGAATTACCTTACACTGCAACTAGTTCAAATTTAGTAAATGACTCTACGAAACAATTTCGGGTGATATGGCTCTTTAAAATGTGGAAGAAAGGAAGGTCTATCTAAATATATGCTTGTATAATATCGTATAACTGGCCATGTTACGTCTACGTTCTATGAATATGCAGTGTGTAATACTATGACATATTAATGCGCACATTGGTTGAAAACTGGGTGGGACATTAAGCTAGCTGCATTTGTGATCGAAAGTGTTATTTCTTTTTTTCTCATCGATATCTTAGTTGCGTAATATTTTTAATCGAAGTTAAAGCTTACTCAACATTACTCGAGACGTCTCTAAGATTCTGTATTTCTACTTAACCGGAGATCAAGGTGATTGAATTAAACAAAGAACAAATATACATACATAAACATTCTAAACTCGCACGCCCGTTGTGCCGCATTTCACCTTGCAGTTATCCCTTCAACGTTACAAAAAAATCATAGCACTTTTCGGTATATCTAATAAATGCATTTTTGTAAATATATTCCCTTTGATGTATAATGTCAATTGCAACTTGCTTTAAATTAAGATTATATTATAACTCTATCTTTACACATAGTACGATTCCGCGGTTGGAGTTATCACGAGTTTGCAGTTAAAGACAATAGTTTCATATGTATAATCGTAAAGCTAATGGTGCCACGTGCGTGGCGACCAGTCCGTAAATTTAAGTGTTAATGTGAGATGATTTAACGTCTGCCTTTTTAAGAATCGTGGGCTCATCTTTTAGAAAGGTTCCTGACCTGGAACCCACCGTAGGCTGTTTCGGAACCTCCCCATTATGGCACTTATTTTTAGCTTTTTCATCGGAAGAAGTCTTATTGACAGTCGTCCTTTTGTTAGCGGTCGCAGGTTTATTCATTCTATTATTGCCAGATGATTTAGGGGAAGATCTTTTGCTAGGGCTTTCGGAACCCTGTTGATTCATTGCTCCTTCTTTCCTTTCTCTCATTACCGTTGGGTGATTAACCATCGATTGCGTAACCGGCCTTGTATTCGCGGGTTTAGATGACACATTATTCAAAGACTTACTTGGAACATCCGGCGTTTTTGCAGCGTCTAGAAGATTTCTCCGTAAGTGATAAGCACTAATAGCTGCAGCTCTGCTCCTACTAGCTGCGGTAGAACTCTCTAACGATCTTCGTGGTCTTCTTGTCACCGTGAGTGGACTCCTTTGTTGCACGGGTGGTGAACTCTTCTTTCCCCCTTTGTCGCAAGTAGGCGGTTGTGGTTTTTTTGTCGTCTTTCCTAAAGTTGGTGAAAGCTTGTTTGACGTGTTCGATTTGGGCGTTGTTGTCATCTCTGTCATAAGACTGTCTGTCGACATCGAAGTGTCCATCTTATTGGGCTTCTTAACAACTGCAGGCTTGTTCTTTGATTCCGCTAAAGAATCCACAGACAAGCCTATTTCAGCATTTTTTTGTTTAAAAGACGGAGACTCGGGTCGCGTTATACCGCAACTCTTGCTGATCGAGTCTTTCTTTGTATTTATACGGCTGGTGTTAGATTCCGTTAAACTATCCGAGGAAAGAGCCTTCACATCCTTCTTTATGGGCAACTTTATTTTAGCTAATGGCTTCTTCTCGGTAGCCCGTTTCATTGCAGGACTAGATGTACGAGACGAATCTGAAGATGATATCATTATTTTTCGTCGTTGTTGTACCATAACTTTTTCTGGATGCGCCGGCTGTGTGGTTTCCTTTGGAACAGATTTGTTCCTAGGTTCCAAGTACCTTGACTTTACCTAAAAATTCGAGAAGCACTCAGTTTCTTTACCATCTTTTGACGTATTTAAAACTTTTCATAATAAACGAAATGCCTTTCGAAATATTGGTAACAATATTGAGAAAATAAAGATTTACCTCTAATTTATTAGGCCATGATTTCGGTCTGCTTGTATCCGTAGTGCTTTGCTTATCATTTTGCATTTTACGTTCCATTGGATCGCTCTTCGGTTTGTTAAGAACTTTCTTCGGTTGTTGTTGCTGCTGTTGTTGCTGTTGCTGCGGCGGCGGTTGCGGTTGCGTCACTGTCATTTGCTTCAAGGTTCTATGATTATGTTCCGATATAACCATTTTCACACGTTTCAAGTCCAGGCTTCTATTTGTGAGCCTTGGACGACTCGACGCTGGTCTAGGTTCCTACGAAAAGCAACAATTCTCACAGATGGATATAGATAGTCAATTTCAATTTATTTAAAAAATTATATAATGTTACTTACGTTTATAAAATTAGAATGTCTCGATGGTCGTTTTGTTGTTTCATGAGGTAAAATTACTAAACAAGCTAATTCTTGTATTCTACGTCGAAGCTCCAAGTCCATTTTTAGCCATGTGGTTGTTCTCGCGGCTCGCGTTGCATCTCTGACCAGACACTTCTCCACTCGGCTTTGAATTTTCTTCAAGAAATCGATGAACAAAGGTCCCCACTTGATCTTATCCTGAGCTTCGTCTTGCTGTGCCGAGGTCAACATTTTGTGCAATTTCGAGTAACTCTTACACGCTTGTTCGGGGGGCAAACGTTCGGCGGCAGCTAAGAAATTGTCCTCCAGTCGGCTGATGTTCCACGTTAACTCTCGGCCTAGAGATTGGAAGTTCTCATTTCCCAGGACTGCCGAGAAATTATCAGATAAGAACTTCACCGAAGTCTCCAACAGATTCGAAACCATTCTGAACACTGGTTCAGCCCAACGAACGTTTGGCAAAGTTGCCAGGAGTTTATCACAGTCCATCATCGTTTGAAGCACGTTATCTGTAGACTGTCATTCACGAGAGCAAAAATAAATGCGATGTTTATTTAAATTGACAAACTTAGCTTGGGAACTTAAATTCAGAAAAATTATATAACGTTAATATGTACATACCATATGCACAATATGTTGACGATAACACTTTGCCATGAGTTCTTTTGGAAGCGTCGCGAATGCCTTACATGGCCATATGCGCACGAAGTGTCTCGTTACCCATCGAAGTGATTTTCTGTACACTTCGTCGAGACCGTAAGCTGCTGCTAATGGCATACACTCCAATACCCCAACAGCGCATATTTGACAGGGCTACAGCATAAACGCAATTATGGTAAAACACCTCTTTAAAACTCCACATTATTCTAGTTGTTATACTTTCACGGTCTCACCTTGTGGAATAGGTGACAATATTTTACTTTAAGCGTATATTCGATAATTTCCTTGAGACCTTCCAGGCATAACATATCAGCTAAAGTAGCTAGTTCCACTATACTTATGGAGTCCGGTATATTACTTTCTCCGCTGTATATGTGACACAATGCAAAATGCACCGCATCGTAGGAGTATCCTTGCAGAGAAATAACATTCCCAGCGTTTTCGATCCATCCGCCGCTAAGTATTGCAGCGAAGTATTGGCAACGAGAACTCAATATACACTTGTGCGCTCTTATGCGACGTCCAGCTACATCGATCGTTACGTCTGGATTAATTTCTTCTAAGAACATTCTTAGCAAATCTTCCCCTAATCTATTGTACGGTCTGCTTCCTGCTAAACTGGATGTTTCGGTTTCCTCTGTACTCCCTTCTGAAAAACAAATTCGTAATTGATTGTGAAAATTCGATTACGTACTTCGTTCTGATATAGATAACGAGTTACACACCAGCGCCAGAACGACCCATGCTGCTCTGCATACTACTTAGATCGGATTCCGATATGATTCCCTCCCCATCGTATTCTCCTGTCAGTTCTTCAAGAGGAGACTTTTGTTTAGATGGAAGCGAGGTACTCATGATTGAGCTAAACTTCCTAGGTAGCGGTCTAACAGATCCATTAGTCCTGGACATCACCAATTTACTTTCAATCCAGGAAGTCTCCGGAATACTGTTGCACATACGATAGCTGCTCCTCTCTTCTTTCACAGACAATATATCCGCCGATTGAGACGCTACAGGTGTTTTATCTAGATCCGATAATCGAACAAAGTTGGATGTTGTTTTTAGTGTAGTTCTTTCATTTTTCTTCGACGCTACGTTATAATCCTCGTAAGCCGTCTCCGACTTCACGTAATCCTTCACAAACTCGCTCTCTATTTTTTTAATAGTCTCATGCAGGGATTTACGGGATTCCAATATTTTACTACCTACAGCAGGAACTACTTGTGGTCGATTTATGTTTGGCACTTCTCCGTTCAACAGTTCATTTAATTCATAATCATGATTATCGCTATCAGGGGATGGACCGCTGCCACTACTGATGTCGAACGTCTCACTTTTCCGCGTTTGCCCCTCGGTGCTCTCAGTACACGTTTTCTCCCACGCAGATGTCTCCGAATACTCGTCCTCGTACACTTTAATATCGGCAGCGTTCAGATTTTCAATTGTTCTTTCAGTATTCAATTCCGTGTACTCGTGCTCCTTTACACTGACCCGAAGTTCCTCGTTGATCACTTCAACGTGAGAATTAGGAGGTGTATCTCTCACGTCGAACTCGAAAACATCTTCCGAAGACGTGTCCATATTGCTGGGACCATTGTTTCCTTCTTGAAACGGTTTAGAGTTCTTCTGGGTGACAGCGTCTACTCTTGAGTCGTTCAGAGAATGACTGGAACAACTGGGCTTCGCTTGCAATCTTTTCAAATCTCCCCGATCTACGGACAGACTATGCGCACGTTTATGTTCCTTTCTAAACATTATCTCTTTTGCTACGTGTCCGTTGTTACCATTGTTAGAATTATTGTTGACAGTCTGCGTCTTATCGACGTTCCAGGAATGTCGTTTAAATGCTGGTCGGGATGAGGATAAAGTTCTTCTCCTTACCACCGGCGAGTCAGACTCTATGTACATGAAGACACTCGGTTTAGCTTTTTCTCTGACACATTTCTGCTCGGTCGACGATTGATCCTCTTTTGTAGCTGTACTGCTCTCGCTGGAGTTAACGTCATCCAATTTCGTCTCCACTTGTTTGTCAGAGAACGTAGAAAGACTTCTTCTGTGTGAAGGATGCACAGTACTTTCTTTATTCTTCGGCGGATCACTTAGATCAATAAACATTGAGAAAATATTTTTCTTATCGATACTTTCAATAGGTTTTTCCGGTTTAGCAATTACCTCTTCGAGCTCCGGTTTTTTATTCTTCAATACATTGTTACTAGACATGTCGACGTAGAATTCACAGTACGATTTGCTGCATCCGTTTTGCTCCTTCTTCTCTATCGAATGACTCTGTTGCTGCGCGATGGGTTTGTTATCCATATCTTTTAAATTAACAAAAAATCCTAAGCTACCATGTTTCTCGTGATTGCTCACTTTTCTCACCGGCGGCTTCTTTACACATTCTGAACTTGAAAAACTTTGTGACATTCCTGCGCCGGTACTGTTCGCGACCTTGATCTCATTTTTATTACTACAATCGCTCATGTCGACCACCCACGCTGTCAATGACGAAGACATTTTCGCAGACCTGGCTCTTCTTACTTCTGGTTCGTTCATGATAACGGAACCACCGGAGACTATCGGCGTTGATTCCGTTTTTCGACGCACAGTAGGACTATCAGTAGGCTTAGAATAGTCCGAAGTGCTGACTCCGCCGGAAATAATGGGCATAGTCTCAACGCATTTAGTTTTCTTCAGCGTGTCTGTTCTGCTGTCTTTGTCGATGATGCAACTTAACGTCACAGGCAAGCTGCTACTGCCGTTGGTCATCTCATCGTCCAATTCCGCATTACAATCAGTAACAACTTCATCGCTGGCGCTTTTCGTTACCGGATAAACCAGATTGTTTTTACCGCTACTCGAATTATTGTTCTCCGGTGGTGTCTGGTTAATCTCATATTTCCCGTTATCTAATGAAAGATACGGCAACATGTGATATTGGCTACTGGTCGGTATTTGAACGTCTACTGTAAATTTATTTAGCACGTTGTTTATCGGTATCGATGGTTCCTCGGGTGGGTTGAAACACGAATCACCGTCGACGCGATGTCCCGAGTATTGAGGTATTGCATTCTGAAACACGAGATTACCTTGTCGTCGTTCATATTCTTGCCTCAATACAGAAAGCTTCTCGTCATTCGAGTCCAGCTCAAATGTATTCCTTCTGATAAGGGAAGGTCGACGTGTATCGTCCGCCAGATTCGCATCTTTATCGTTCGTTTCCTCGGTATCGTTCGTTTCTTTTTTCGCATCTATCGCTGCGCTCGAGTTATTACCGCTGTTTACACGCGATACAACATGTCGATCGTTATTTATATTTTTATTATTGTCAGGACAAGGAGAAGGATGCGCACTTTCGCCGCTGTCAGCTTCCTTAATTTCTACAACTAAACATTCTTTCTTTACCTCGGTATTTATTTTGTCCTCGGAAGTAGAATCAGTTCTTCGCACTTTCCGCGTATCCCCAAGCGGTTCCAGATACTCAGTAAGCTTCAGCTCTCTCTCGAATTCTGCTATCCTTTCGTGGCCGGTCTGCAGATTAGTCGCTTTAAGGGATGTGAATTTGTGACATTGTTCGCCGGCCAGTTCGTTCGACGTGTTTGTAATATATTTAGAAGAGGAAGCATATGGTTGCACTTTTTCGTCGTAACATTGATTTTTAATCAAGTTTCCAGATGGAATCTCTACCTCATCGTTAAGAGTCGATGCGTCGATGAAGTAATAATTACTTGTATTACAGGAACTTTTTATCGCGTTGCGTATATCGTGTGGTAATTCGTGATTCGCGTTCTCCGTCCGCGTATTTCCAAGCTGAGAGCAATCGGAATGATACATCTTCTCATCCTGCGACTTTCGTGCCGACTCCTTCGCCGCGCAACTTTTCTCCGCGTCGCTGATCGCCGAGGACGCGTTGCCAAGGTGAATGAATTCAAACGACTCATTCTCATCGCTGGCGCAGTCCGACTCGTAAAACGGATCGCTAAGTACTTGATTCTCGTATTGAAAAATTTCATCCGCACGCGACTTGTCGTTTTGAGGGTTGCCCGTCGACGAACTAGAGGAATCCAGCTGGAGCCGTTTCCCGTCGAGGGAACAGCTCGTTGTGCTATGATCGTTCGAACTACATTCCATCAGACCTGAATCCCCCAGGTCCTTCGCGTGGCACGCGCTGTTATAATTGTTGGTCGAATTACAGCATTCGTTATCTTGAACCGCTTTCGGATCCTTGTTACGTGCACGCCTGCCGCGTATCTTATCTAATTCATCGTTTCCGGAGGTGTATTCCGTGACTTGTAGCTCCTCGAAATCGGTACTCGAATTCTCCGATGCGGTATTCTCGTGCGGGCTTACGGAACCAGTTTCCAAACCAGAATCAGCCATATCGGACACAGTGGGACTTACATCCACGGTAGCATATTCTCTCACATTTCTCACGCTTTCAATGTCTTCCGTGCGACAATCTCCGGTTGTGCAATCCACATATCTTTGACATAAAGACAAATATATATGTATATGTATAAATTATACAAAGAAATGTAAATTTAAACGCGAATATACGATAATTGTGCAAATCGGTATTAAAATCTTAGATATTATGTATCTACTTCTATTGTATTATAATTATGAATTAAGAACCTTTTATCGATGTCTGCTGCTTTATTGTTATCAGAGGGTGGATTCACGAGTTGCAAAGTATAAGTACTCAAAATACGTCGCACCAGTAACTGTTCTTTTTTCGAAACGTTTGAATTGCTATATAGAAGCCTGAAACGGTACGAAGTAAAGGTAAATATACATTCAGGAAAAGAAGTTCTAATTTAATGCATATTATTCTATCCATGTGCAATCTATGACATTGACTTTTAATGTGAAAAGGAAAGTTTACATGCTGGCTTTCAAATAATCCACATTATCAAAATAAAGTTTTACGTATATTTTACATTATATAAAAAGAGAAACTATAATATGTGCAATAAAACAAAATAATAAACAGATTGATTAACTATACAATTTTTGTATTTTTAATACTGGAAATCAGATTACATAGAAGTCAATATATCTATAAGACATATTCCTTATATTATAATCATATTAAATAATAACATGTGACATTTTATTAACGAAATCTTTTTAACATAATTTACATACAGGGCATGCAAATAAACATTTCGTAAATCGATAGTACATGGAAAATGTTAGCTCAGAAATATTTGTGATTAATATATTTCATTTGTCAACGATCGAAATGCTTTTATTTCAACAAACATAAATCTGAATTCACAAATATCCCTGAATTAAACAAGGGTCTATATTCCAAGTGTAGTTTGCAATATACAAATAACATAGAGTTCTTATATGGATACTGCTTCTATTAACGAAAAGGGTATTATTATACACACAGCTGGCAGTACCTCACAAAGCCTTCTATATGATGAAAAATTTCCAGTTTATCAATGATACAGTCAATGCGACTGTTAATGTGTATAAAATAAGGCCTGAGGACCTTGTAAAAATGTGGGGCTCTTGTTTTAACGATACACTGGTTTGTTCTTATTATATTATGTCCATGTATTATGTTAAAATCACAATACAAGGAGTCCGTAAATATGCTACAATAAAACACTCTATTCAGTTTATGTATTGATAAACTTATATTTCGTACATATTAATTACTTTATACAAGTACATTCCCATAAGTTACAGTCAAACAATATGTCTCGTGGACGTGTGCAATAAATATCGTGTAACAAAAAATAAAACGTACTACACGTGATGTAAGTAAACTAGAACTTTCAAGTATTTTATAATTTTGTACAGTATATCATTTTTACCGATACTCAGTTTACACACGTATTCAGATCCTCTAAGTACATAACATAAAATGATTTAGCAAATACTTCTGAAATAATTCATGCAATGATATTTATATATGCTCTATATTATTGTAATATTTTATCCAATGTATAATATCAATGTTATTAGCTGCTTCGATTAGACTGTTCAAATGTAAGTGACCCAAATTAAATAATGTTAAATTATCGGTTTACCTCGAAATATTATCTTGAAGATCGCCAAGGCTTTTTGCAACAATTCGACCGTTTTCTATATCCTGGTGTTTTTTAAATGTTTCACTGGAAGGGAGTTCAGGCTTGACAGAAGCATAAAGCTGATGGCAATAGAGCCATTGATGTATTCTGTCTAAATTTCCACTTTGCTTGTTGTTGCCCCTGCCTCCAGCCATGAGACATGTTTAATATTTCATACTTGTTCACCTTTAATCCATTAAATTCAAATGAGTAATACCAGGGAACTTCATAAAAATTTTAATAAACGTAGAGAACGAAAAGATGTACAGAGTAATATTAAATACAGATCTTGCTTTTACAAACAATGACCATCGAATGGTAAATTTTTAAACACATAGAGCAAACGAAGCGTTGAAGCAACAAGGATATTAATGATTCTTAAATGTATGCATTGCTGACAAAGTACATAACAATTTCAAGGTCAATACAACAGATACTCCTTGCCATAATAATTACCGATCTCCTCGTACCATCTTTAATATTTCAACAATCGTACATTTTGTTGATTTGCATGATAATTTAAAACGTTCGAAATATACGCATGAATAATTACATAATGTTATTTGTTAAAAAACATACATATACATACTGTTATTTGGTACCTACGTACAGTTCATTACGTTTAACCTATAATTAATAAATATAATTGCATTTTGATTCATGAATGAAATGTGCAACTAAATATTTGATACGTAAAACAGAGAATGAAAACATGAATGCCAAAAATAAACGCGTAATTCTAGCACGGTTCAAAAGTAGGAATCCACAGTTTGAAGAGAAACAGATCGGACCATTGGAACGCGACGAATGCCGACTAATCTGTCGATTAATGAAATCTCACGTCGCAATCAATAAAGTATATGGCAGTAAGCGTGTCATACTGAAAGCAAGTGTTTTCGATTTTTAAAAAGGATCAATCGAACACACCTTGTTGATTGTCACTTGACGCATCTCTGCGTGTATTCAGAGTACGTCTTACTTTCGTGTATTACTTAGCAGCAACGCGGATTATTAACTACGCCGCGACGAATACAGTTATCTTCAGAAAACGTTAAACATACGAAAACGTCACTGTTCGATTATCTGCATCCGTAAAATATGTTTTTCCGAAAACTTTCTCAATAATTTATTGATCGGACCCCTGGTACATATGTATACACATTTACGTACCTCGCATTATTTCGGTTCTTGAACACCGGTCGGGGTATGTTATGATTACACGACGATGCGGGCCATAATCCTCTCGCACATTTTGCCGGACGCGACTGTTACGAAATTCGCCGGATATTAACGGTACGATACTTGGCAAATGTTCACTTGCTTGTTGTTCAAACGACAAATATGCGACGATCGTTTTCACAGCCGACTCTAGTATTAGCCATGCTGAGAAACGTGGCAACACCGCTCATTCGGCAGCGGTAGTCCTATTTTCAATAATAAAGTCCTGTACTTTGCTGTACTTGAAGCTACAATTAAACGGTACTTTTTTTATAGAAAATTGTATTAATCTATATTATTTTTTGATAATTAAGTATAATAACTATTTAAGTGTTATAACTATGACAAGTAGGAGTATACATGTAACTAATATTTATAACATGTTGCACATTTGGAATCTCGAAAGAATTTGGTGCTTTGTTGCGTTATATTTGATATATACACAGTGATTTCAAGAAAATTGTAGAACAAGATAAAACCATTTTTGAATCAACTGATAAAAGGGCACATATGTTGATAAGAAATTTTAAATAAATAAAATTGTTGTTGTGAGGTTAACTGCAGCTGTGAAAACGAGATTGGTGTAAAATTTTGTAATGAGAGAAATATGCAATTACTTACAGGAAATCAGAGAACAATATTACAGTTGCAGTATGAATTTCCTCGTTAGAAGCTTTATATCAATTATTATCCACAGAAATCTATTTCAATCAAATCAAGTGTTCATAGGACAGTCAAATGATCTATTGATCCAGAGACAGGAAGATCTACAAGGCTACATAATTGTAAAGAATATAAGCAATCAGCTGGATTTTCTGAGCAGTGATAAGATCTGGTTATGATAAGGACTGAGGTATAATGTATAAGTTAAGTTTTATTATTCTTTTATAAGGAATTAGTTGACACATTAAAAAATAATTGATTGTTGGCAATACTTGTTGGACTTCCTGAGTCCCAACAATGAGAAGTAAGTAATTACTCATGTTTGTATTAAAATTGTTTATTTCATAAAATATGGTTAGATAAGAATATGAAACAGAATAGCCTTTGAGATAATTAAACTTTTTAATCGACAGAAACTGAGAGAAACAGCAAACTAGTTACTTTCAGTTTCTCTATTTTAATAAAAATAACCTCACACAGGATAGATTGCATTATAATTTATTACTTGTAAAAAACTCACACTTTAATATTTATTTTTAATATAAATCACAATATATATGTACGTATAGGTCTCTACTTTACAATAACTATGTACAACCTTACATATTAAATGTATCTACAGTTCTCATATTATTAAGACGAGCAGATTATGATAGTAATTTTTCTTCTTTCTCCGAAATTCACATTCATTATTCACTATCGTGTGTCAACTGTGTAAAGTCGTTATATTATTGATTAGTTTTGTCGTGTAATACTTTATTCGATCGCGAATCACAATGACTTCGTGTTTCTTCCAACTCTTTCATTCGGTCCTCTAATTGTTTTATTGTTCGAGCTCGGGAACGGCATACATTTTTCAAGAACATCTTGTCTTTTTCCAACTTTTGAATTTTCATATGTTCCTGTAGAAGTGATCAGAGTGTTGTAATTATTATAAAAACTGATATAACCCTGATAATAATATTTTCTTACCTCTACGACTCCACTGTTAACACTACAAAAGCGTATTGCGTTATTTGGTATCGTTTGACAGGCTTGATCTACTCTATTCACGCGCCATTTCCTACAGATATCGCATTCCCACGTCTTAACATCGTTCAAAGACCTCTGCAACGATTTTACCTCGCAAATCAAGTTTGCATTCTACGTGAAAAATAAAATGCACATTAATAGATTTATAAATTATGTATATATCGATAAAGCTGTAATTTCAGTATCTCATTACATACCTTAGTACGGTATGCGAGTACCAATTCGTTCAATTCTTTACATTTCTTCTGATAAGGGAAATTCTCACTTTGAATCTGTAACTGTAGAGTTGCGATTTGCCCATTCTTTGATACCAGTTGCAACTCCAACTCGTGAATCTTATTCTTCAATTGCTCGCATTCCACCTCAACCTCGTTATTTTTATAAAATGTTGACGTATTTTGTCTCATTTTTCCACCATCGTTCGATGTACTTGATTCATTGAATGTTCTTGAAGTCGCTTGAAGCATTCTAATTTCGTGCTTAAGTTTTTTATTCTCGGCCACGAGATACTCCAGTTTCTTTCTCGTGTCGTTGTCCAATTCGCCTTCCGGTTGACGCAAATCTATTCTTGAATTGATTTCGGCATTATCGATATCTTTATTTTTCTCTGTTAAATCTCGCAGCCTTTTCATAGCATCTTTAAGTTCAGTTTCTCTCTGATTCAATAATAATTTATGCATCTTTAATTCTTTCACGGCTCTATTTCTTTCTTCTTCAAGCTCTTTCACGCGGTTGTACGTGCCTTCCATAATCTTCGTATTTTGCGAGTTGTCCTTTTCTGGATCCATTTGTAGTCTCATCTTAAGCGCATCAGCTTGGTCCCGAAGTTCCTGATTTTCGTCTCGAAGCTTTTTCAATTCTACCTCTAGTTCATTGATGTGCACATTTTCAGTTAAGCGAGAATATAGTTTCTCTTCCAGTCTGGAGATCTCAGCATCTCGTTCTCTAATTATTCCACCATATTCTTCTAGTTCTTCATCCAGTTCTTTATTCTTCTCAGTCAATTGCTTGATCTGATTAGCATACTGTTTTACCTCGTTTTCCTTCTGACTCAAAACTATTTTTTTGCCTTCCAATTCTAACGCAATCCTATTTTTTTCTAGAAGAAGGTCATCGTATTTGCCTTCGTCCATGGATGAACTCAAAATCGAGTACTTTGATTTGTACGATGAAAGCGTCATTTTCAATTCCTCGTTTTCTTGTACTGCAAGCTCATATTTCGTCTTTACATCGACCAAATCTCTTAAAGTTCGATTTTTAGCCTCTTGAAACTCTGTTACACGATTGGTTGCACCTTCCAAATTTTGCTGTAATCTTTTATTCAACTCTCGCAACTCCTCCATTTCAGCTTCCGCTTTAATCTTGCTAGTACTGTTTCTAATTTTCCTCTCTAATTTTATATTCGCCTCCTCAAGTTGTTCGTATCTCTCTTTCAGATCGTTCAATTCTTCTATCAGTGTAACATTTTTGTTGTTCAGCTCATTTAATTGTTTTTTCAGTCCAGTATTCTTTACTTCTTCCGAATTTAACTTGTCTTTGATGATTTCCAATTGTTCTTCGCTTTCCTTCTTCAATGTTTGCATGTCTTCCTTGCCTCGTTCTATGACAGATCTTTGATCTTTAACGTGCTGTTTTAACGATTCATATTCGTATTCAATAGTTTCAAGTTTTGCTTCATACGCAGATAACATGTCGCATTTATCTTTCAGAACAACTGCAATCTCTTCAATACGCGCATTCTTCTGTTCTATCTCTTGACTCATCTGGTTACAAGTTTGCCCGAGCTGTTCGAACTCTGCATGCATCGATTCCAACTTTTGGTTCTTTCTTTTTATTTCCATCGAATTAGCTTCGATGATGTTTTTCAATTGTTTTTCGTTCGCTTCGAGACCCTCGATAGTATCATTTAATTCCAAAATTTTTGTTTTGTAAGACTCTATAGCGTGGGTCAGATTATCGATCTTCTTCTCGTACATCTCTTTTTCGCATTTAATCTTCGACTGCATTTCCACCTCCTTGATTTTTATTAGCTCCTGTGTTTCCTTCTCCTTTCTCTGGACAATCGCTTCTCCTTGTCGATTGTCGACCTTACACCGTCTATCAAAATCCGCTTGCAAATTACTTAAATCTGTTTCCAGTGACTCGATCTTCTCTTTCATAATTTCTTTCTCACGAGTACTTTCTATCAAAAGATATTCTAACTGAGAGACCTTGTTCTGATATTCTTTATGCATACGTTCCCGTTCTGTTAATTCGATCTGTAACTTTTCCATGTCCGTTTCCAATTCTTTGGCCCACACAGAGGAACGTTTTTCCGTATCTAAGGATTGTCGTTTTTCTTCTTCCAATTTTCGCTTTTCCTTCTCGTGCGTTTCTTGCATGGTTTTAATTACTTCCGCTTCTTTCGATATTAATGTCTGTAACAAAACTGTGAAGATCTCGGTTATAGGCTTCTTTGAATAGTCGACGGGGTTCACGTTGGATATTAACGATTTTAATTCCTTAAGTATGCATTTTTTTATATCGTTCACTTCCCAATTAAGCTTCTCGTTATCATCCATCAATACTTTTTGTTGTTCGCATATACGTTCTTTCTCAGCCATCGTTTCATTCAGTTTCTCCTTGACGTTTCGCAGATTACCAAGCTCTCGCGACATATTCATGTTTTCATCGATATACTTGTTCAAAGTATCGTTCAACTTTTGTAAATTGTTTTCAGATTCTGTGATACGCTGCTGATATTGCTGAATCATCGAATCAAATTCGTTTTTATACTTTATCTCCAAATTATTCTTGAAATTCATTGCTTCGGCTTCGGTTTCTCGCAATTTTTGTGTAAGAATGTATGCTCCTTGTTCGCTCTCCTGTAAAAGTTTCTCATAGTAAGCGCCTTTTTCTTCGAGTTCTTTACAGTAGAATTGCTGATTTGTTATATTCTTTTGAAGATCGTTTATATAAGTTTCTAACTCTTTGATTCTTTGCACATATTGCTGTTCTGATTCTTGAATATGCTCTTTTTCTTTTTCTAGTTCCTCACACCGTTTCTTCAGACATTCTAATTCTTTATTTTTCAGTTCAATTACGTTCGAATCCATTAACTCGTTTTTCTGACTTGTGACTAAATCCAATTCAGTTCTCAAAGATAATACCTGCTCGTTCAGTTTAGTAATCGTATCATTTTTGTTCTGTTCCTCAAGTTTTAAACTTTCTACTTCTACCTCCAACATCAATCTTTGACTCTCCAGTTCTTTCTCTCGCGCAGAAAATTGTTCAGTCGCCTTACTCATGTTGCTCAACTCATTTTCCAGGATTTGTATTGTCTTCATTGCCGTATTTTCGTTATTTTCCATCTTCTGCTGCAATTCCTTGTTAGCGTCTCTCAGACTGTTTATTTCGTCCAACAAACTGAGTTTCTCAGTTTTACAATCGTTAAGCGTGTCAGCGAAAATAGTACTATTTTTCTTAATCTGATCCATTTCGTTCCTCAGTTGGTCAATGAAACTCTGCATGTGTTCTAGTCTGTTTCTATCTTTACCCAAGCTTTTTCTTGATTTAGACTTGTTAGGCGAATGTGCGATTTGGACATTTTGAAGTCGGTCCAGTTCAGTACATTTGTCCTCGTACAAAATTGATAATTTGTCGTGATCATCTTTCAAAATTTGCAGTTCGTTGTTTAAACTCTGTATCTTTTCCTCCACAACGCTTACATGCGTTTCGTCCACGAAGCTGAAGTTCAACGACATATTATGCACGCTCGTGTTGAGCTCTTGATTAATCTCAATCTGAGTGTTCACACATTTGCGATCGTACTTTTTCTGCAAATCGTTCAGCCTTTGGTTCAAGGCATTTACTTCGAGTTTAAGAGCTCTGCGATTCTCGGTCAAGTTTCTCATGTGTGCACATTGGTTGCAAGAAGTCAATTTCAAGTCGCTAAGTTTTTTATTCAAACGCTTTAGATGATCGTTTTTAGTTTGTAATGTTGCAACTTTGAGTATCAATGTTTCACGGGTTTCTTCTTCCTCCTTAATATCGCTTTCGTCGACATCAAATATTGCCGACAATTGTAATGAATCTTTCAGAACTTTTTCATTGTAGGAAGAATCAAGATTTTCTACAGTCTCGAACAAACTGGTAGAGAATTTCGCGTTCTCTTCGGACAATATTGTTATTTTTGTCTTCAACTCTGCAAGCTCTCCTTTTAAAGTATTATTCTCCGTTTTCAAGAGTTCTACATCACTTTCAGCACCCTTCATCGACGATGATTGTTCCAATTTATTCTTCAGAATATTACATTGCTCCTTTAACATATCGTTTTCTTCTATCGTATCCATTAAGTCCGTAGAAAGTTCGTTATTTTCATTTACCAAACACTTTTTTTGTTCTTCAAGAATTACTACTTTCTCCTTATGGATGCATTCGTGATCGTACAAGAGCGACTTGCTTTCTTTAATGTTATCCAATTCTTTCTTCTTCTCCGTTATAGACATCGATAATTCGATGTTCTCTGCTGTTAATTTATCGATCTTTGTTTGATACGATATTAGTAACTGTTGCTCGTCTTGGTTTTCCGACACTTGCGAACGGATCGAGTCTAGTTGCTCTTTCAATGCCTGCAACTCGTTCTCCAAAATGATCTTTTCCTTGGTAATTTCAGAAATTCGCGTGTATAATTCGTCGATTGTTTTCTGCAGATTGGCCTCTGTCTGTACTGCTTTTTCTTGTTCAGTGTTTAATTTGGTAGCCATCTCCATATTCTCATTTGTCAACAGATTGATAATCTCTTGTAATTTAGTCATGTCTTCCATGATAATTTTTATGTCTTCCAACTCCTGACTTTTCAAGTGAAGACTCTCTTCTAGTTGACTCTTTTCTGCTTCCAATATCAAGTTTGAAATATTTGCGTTGCTCTCGTTCATCGGTAGAATAGAACGATTCCTCCATCGTTTTCGTAAATGTTCATTCTCAATTCGGAAGTTCGTCACACTATGTTCCAAGTCATTCACATAATTATTCAAATTTTGATTTTCGTGCACATGTGCATCTCTTTTCCTCGAGACAGCCGAAGTTTCTTTTTCATCATCATCATTTGTTTCATCGAGACATCCAAATCCAATTTTTCGTTCAATTTCGTTTTCCAATTTACAAATGTTGTCTGTCGTTTCCAGATGTGTTAATTTCATTTTGAATTCAGAAATCTTCTTCAATTCATCGTTCAATCCTTTATTAAGACGTTCAAACTCGTTTCGTTCAGTTGTGATACAATCAATTTGTTTGTTCAGCTCAAATATCTTCTCTAGCGCTTTCTGCTTCTCGATCTGCTCCGATTCCAATTCAGATGTTCGTCGGTCCAGTTCTTGCTGCAACTCTTTAACAGCACATTCGAAATCTGTGTTTGTGGATGTTATGTGTTCAAACTCGATTTCTAGATCGGCAATCATTTCCATCATTTCTTTGTTTCCCGTCTTCTCTATCTTTATTTTTTCCTTTAATTCCGAAGTAATTTTACTCAATTTGTTGCGTAATTTATTATTAACATGCGAGAGCTCGAGTTTCTCCGATATAATCGTCGCAATTTGTTTCTTCAGTTCAGAAATCTGTTTTCTTTCTTTCTCATTTTCCATCTGTTGAGTCGTTGTCATAGTTTCAAATTCTAATATTTTTTCGTCAAACTTGGTTTGCAAATCACTATTGATACGCTGGAACTCGTTTTTCTCAGAGATTACGTTTTCCAATTCGTCTTTCAATGCGGAAATCTCCGTAACAGATTGTACAGTTTGTTTCGCATACGAAGTATCTGTTTCATTAACTTTTTTCTCCAATTCAGTGTTTGTCTCTTTAAGCTTATCGTTCTCGGAAACCACGTCAACAAGCTCTTTCTCCAATTTGGAAATCTTGTCAACTGCTTGCTGGTATACCGATTCATGCGATGCAATCGTGGATTTCAACTCTGAGACATTCTCGTTCAATTCCCTGTTTATGCGTTCGAGTTCATTTTTTTCCGAAGCAACACGTTCGATTTCTGTTTCCATTCGCACGATTTTTTCCGCTGCTTCTTCTCTTGCCATCCGTTCTGATTTGACTTCCGATTGCAAATCTGCAATCCTTTTACCAGACTCTGCTTTCAACTCGATGTTCACACGCTCGTACTCGTTCTTCTCCGAAGTAATTAGTTCTACTAACTTTTCTAATTCGGAACATTTTTGGACCGTCTCTTGCTTCTCTTTTTGCTCTAAAGCAATTTTCGTTCCGTAGTCCGAGGACACTCGATTTAATTCGGCGCGTAAATCGCCTGCTTCCTGTTCTAATTTATCTCTTTCTGATTTCATGCTTAGCATTTCTGTCTCTAATTCTACTATCTTATTATTAACGATATCTGAACTCATACTGTTAAAATTACTTCGTAATTTTTCTAATTCGACGGACTTTTTATTCAGCTCCGAGTGCAATTCTCGGCGCATGTACTCGAACTCGTTACGCTCGGCAGTAATATTTTCCATTTGCTTTTGCGATTCTGCCATTTGTTTAGTCAACTCGGTACGCAGATCAACGTTAGCACATTCGAGTTTAGTTTTCTCTGAGGTAACAATTTCAAGTTGCTGCTTGATGTCCGAAATCTTTTTCATTTCTTCTTGCCTTATAGCTTCTTCAGACATGTTCTTCAACGCCAGCTCTGCTGTTTTCTTCTTCAATTCTGCTCGCAATTCACGACTGATGTGCTCAAATTCGTTCCTTTCCGAAGTAATATTTTCTATTTGCCTCTCAAGTTCTGAGAACTGTTTCGTCATTTTATTATTCGACTCCTTTTCTAAGATACTTTGTTTTTCAATTTCATTCAACTTGGTGCATAATTGAGTAATTACATGACTTACATCTTTCTCTTGCATAAGATTCAGATCTTTAAGTTGCTCCATTATTTCTGGAGCAATATCTGTCTTAAAGTTCTCTAAGGTCGATCTACTTTGTCCATCTTCTCCGTGTATCCGACAATGCTTTTCTTGACATATCAGCTGCTTTTCCAACGTCGTAAATTCGCAAAGTTCCTTATACTCTTTTCTTAGATTCATATTATCTTGTCGTAAAACATGCTGCGGTGTACCAGGAGAGCAAGCCTGAATGGACACGTTGCACTTCTCAGGTGTTTTTATGATAAATACATCGTCTTGAAATGTAACGCGCTGGGTACCACGTTTCGTTATAAACGGTTCTTCGTCGCTGTCACTTGCATTGTCCCTAGATTCGCGGGTTCTCTCACTTTCATACAGTTCCAATTCAAAATCGGCGAAAGCTGTTTGAAACGTTTGGTTCATTAGATCCATAGATTTTAAGATACTCTTTCGTTGGGGCTTCTCAAATGACACTTCTTTTATGGTCGGCAAAGATTTTGCCGACTGACAGACAGACGGAAGCTGTTTCAACATTCTTATTCCTGGACCGCCCCACGTCTGTCTCCTCTTGTATTTGTTCTTATTGGGCAATGACTCTTCTTCAACCTCCACGTCTCCAGAAACGATACGAGTTTTCAATACTTCTATACGTTCTTCTAGCAATTGATTAACACGTTCTTTCTCCAACAACTTCGACTCCATTTCCTCGACCTGTGCCGACTTATTCTCATTCTTCACTTTCTCTAATTCTTCTTGAAGCTTAGTCAGTTGTTTCGCGTAACGTTTCAGAAGAGCCGCATCAGACATGACTTCGTTAACTTGTGGCTTGTTCTTCACACTTTTAGCCCGCGATGCAAAAGACAAAGTACACTGAGTTTCCTCTAAAGCGGCAGGTGTCACAGCGCATATTATTGTTGTCATAGCATTACCGCCCAACGAGTTCTGGAGTAATCTCGTCAATTTACTGTCGCGGAAGTTTACGTGTTTCTGGACATCCTGCGATTCGCTTAATTGCATGATCACCAAGCCAAGCGTCGATAAAGACATATTAATGTGTCGTCCTTCCTTAAATCTTTCACCGGTCGCGCCAGTTTGTCGGGCTCTCTCAGAACCAGCGAGATCTACAAGATTTAGTTGTGATACCTGTATTGCACCATCTGAATTCGAGCCTGCCTCTCTGCTCTCGATGGTAATCCTAAATATGGTGTGACTCCTACTGCTCCGTTCATTCATGTTAGTTTCTCCTATCCTTCTGTTTTTATCTCCCTTCTTCATTATGGTCAACACATTTTGAGGACAGTTCGTGATTTCTTCTTTACATTTTAAAATCACCTGCCCAGTTGCATCTTCCTTTAACTTTAAGTCAGTCCCACTTTTGTTCAAGAGATCATTGACCTTTTCATTGTATATCTCCAAATAGGATACTCTGTAAAATAAAGATTTATATATGTGTATGTATAAAAAGCTGTTTACCAATAAACATATGTATATACCTTAACAAAAATTCACGTCCAACAGTATTTGCAATAGCATCAAACATGTGTTCTATTGCAAGTGGTACGATTCCTGGTTCATCTCTGTCACCCAACATCGTGTATGTTTTTCCAGAGCTTGTCTGGCCATATGCGAATACTGTACCATTGAAACCGCTCACAGCAGCATTGACAATGGGTTGTACGACGGTATTAAACACATCCGAGTTGGTTGCGTGCATATCAAAAATATGGTCTGCAGACGTAATAAGACGAAATTATAAGAACGTGAATTCGAGAGAAATCGGAAAGAGGATAATTAATTCGAGAATTAAATATTTACCAAATACAAATCCTCCATCGCCGCGTCTTTTCATTTCAGGATCTGTGGAAATAATAGAGTTCCCTTGCACCGTCCATTGTATCGACAAGTTGTCGTCTCTCTCACGTTTGATCAAGGGCCTCACTTTAATCGCGACTTTTATACTGTCTGACATATTAACTTTAGATTATAAATGATCATTAACAGTAAATTGTAGAATAAATATTTGGACGCTTCACTCTCACATTGGACGACAGTTCACGTTCACGTTATGGCGTGCCACAAACGCCGTTGCCGTTCAAATTTGAATTCTCTGCAATTTAATTGGTCTGACGTTCCACGAACTATGTCGTACCGGAATGCAGTGAATTTCAGTGATGATCATTTTTCATTGGATAATGTCTGTTATGTTAACTACGCTTTCCACATCATTTTTATACTTGTCTTTAGTATATACACTAAGGATAAATGTGCAGGACGAGATTTTACAATTTAAGAATTTGTTCTCTTTGTTATTTCAACGCTTCAACGTTTCGCATGAAAGTGCTTCGATAATAAAGCAACTCGGTAAACCATTCGTCGTTAAACGAGAGATCTACAGACGGACGGATAGCTGGTCGTAGGATTACTAGCCGCTGATTGTACAGGTTTGTGTCCCTTTAATATTTTATCAAAGAGTAATTAAGAAAAATGTTTATTGCAAAAGGTTATTTTTATTCGAACGAAGAATGCTTCAAACACAAAGTTGTAGCTCTAGTTGTCAGGTACAAAAAAGAACCTATGCAATTTCCTTCGAACTCCACTCGTTAAAGAGTAATTAGCGATAAACGATATAATTAATCGATTGTCCTGAAATATTTGAGATAGGAGAAAATTGCATACGACCTATTTTGCAAGATAATTTTAAAAGGTTGTAGCTCCTAATTGGCATATTTGCTGTTAAGTATTAAACATTGCATCAGCATTTGTCTGTGTACAAACTTGCAATCTATAATTAGTATCAGTAACTTAATTTCTGCGATTGAACAAAATCAATGTCAACCCCATTATGTTAATTTTATTTACTCTCTCGTGTGAGGTACGAGGCGTGATTAAGGTGTGTTTCAACTTGACCCAGCTGTACATTCTGTTGGCTTCTGGTGAAGTACGGTAAATAAATACAATTTCATCCAATACATTCCTTAATCTTCCTTTACTTTCGATTTTTATAAACTTTAGTACGTCGTTCTCAAGAATACAAGTTCAACGAATGCAGAATCTATTAACAATGCCGAAACTTGTAGGAAAGGAGGAAGGGATAAGATAATTCATTTACATATTCTGTTTCTCTGATCTTGCGTTGAGAGAAATCGCGCAACCGCTTTTTCCGCGGAGTTCATTAGCGTGGCGAATTAGTGTCCATACTTTAACGAGAGTTCCGTGCCAGTATTTTCAAGAGGCACAACGAACCGAGCAAGTTCGTCCGGGCGAGCGTTCACGATGCGTCTGAACGCTTACAAAAGGAATGTGTCCCCCCACCGGTTCGTTGCTCATTGTTCGGTCCGTGGCATGGGTGCGGTTTGATTCTGCATTTCGAACCAATTCACTGTCTGGCGACAATTGAACGCGTCCATTCTCTATTTGTAAAGAGCGAGAATCGATCTTTTTTTTTACAACGAGACGTCGATGCAAATTCGATCATCAACTATTACACTTTAATTCCTTGTTTCTATTTTCATTATAAAAAAGATTTTCGCATTTGCTTTTTACATCTTCAACTTAATAACAATCAGTCTTCATCCTTTCTAGTCTATTATTCAGTCTAATGTCAGGTATTAATGAGATCATTTCATTAGCATTTGATTAAATCTCTGTTACTTGTTCAACTATAAAATGTACAGTCATCGCAAATTAATATGCAACGCCTCCTTGATTATTATTTTTCTTATAATACAGCGATCGACGGTTGGATTCGTTTCTTTATTTTCTTTCCTTTTTTTCTAGTCGCTATCGCACGGGCCATTAACATTCCAGGATAATCGTAGATAGGGCACGAAGGGTTCGAGGGGCTTTTCGCTCCCTCGGAGTCCTGCTCTATCTCATCCGAATTCCTGAACGACGACTCATCGCGGCTCATTGTGACGTTGATGTCACGTTCAGGAGCTGCGGCGTGTCCTCGCATTGATTCGCGCGGTTCAGAAATTGAAACGCGAACCGTCCGCGCACGTGCATTTCTGCCGTTTCAAATCCATCGTCCTTAATCGTGATCATTAGACGACGGATCCCACGCCTTCCTAAAACAATGCGATTCAGAAGTTAGATTCCATTTATTATACTGACAGAATAATAAAAGGTTTATTTTACGTAAGACGTGATCATCACTCATAGTTAGTATACTTGTTCATGCGGATGCGTGCTTTATAGAAAGAACTTACGAGACGAGGAAAAAAACGATTTGATCAAGCGTCTTCTATGTTTACAATCGCATCTAATTTGTTAGCAATTTGTTAGCATCTAATTATATTATTAATATGTTCCACGAATTGCACCAATGGACAATAAATCGTTGTTGACACGTCGTAAGAACTATTAGCATGCTCGTCGTTTATGTTAGATATTAAGGTTGTATGAGTCGTTAGATCTTCGCCAAAAGTGTAAGTCATCTAGTAAAAAGCTGTGTCCAATATTTGAAGCAATGAACTTTTAGAAGAAATGATAATTACAGAGGAGTCAGGTTTATAAAATTCGACTTGTTTTCATTAGGAATTTTTAAAGCATTATTTCTAATATTTTGTACAGTGTTTTATAAATGTAATATTTAGTGATTGTTAAAATTTTAATGCTTTGTCATTGTTTTTATTTAAGGATGGGCACAATCTTAAGTCTTATGCAAATTAATGGAAGATAGATAGACGAATGAGAATTGAAACAAAGTTTCTTAGAACCGAGATCTGGAGTGATTCAAGAGCCACTTGAATTATGGACGAGATATCCTGCGCTCGCATTATAACTAGACTATAATTTACCAGGATTTTAATTTGCGAAACACATTTCCGATAAACACATTTCTTTTATCGTTTATCTCTGGAATGTCTATACACTTACTTTTTATATTTTACATAATTTCATGTATTAATTTACACTGTTAATATTCTTTATAAGCGTAAAAACGACGGTTTAATTATTATACTTTATTTTACTGTATTTACAGAAGTTTAAGTATTGTTTCGCAGACACTGTCTAACCGAGCCTTCATTTAGATAACAGCCACGGACGGTGCTAATTAAGAACCGCTATTCCCCGTTGGCGTTAAATTAAAATGTTAATCAACGCTGGAATATTCGCCACGCAGCCAGTAATTTATTGAGCGTGCAACGTTTATTGCGAATTAAACGCGAAAGTTCCGATCGCGAATTAAAAACTATAACGGGATACTCGTTAAAAAGAAGAAACTGCATTCACGGTTATTAAAATCGTACATTATTATCCACAAACCTTAGGACACATTATGAAAGAATAATTCACGATTCATATCCTTTTATCGAAAGTATTATTTTATTAAAATTAATGAATATAAAATTGTTTGATTTCTGATCTTTGAATCTTTGAATCTGAAGACGCTCATTGAACAAGTCAATAAATTCAACAAGGGGATTCGTTTGATCGTTCATCGCGTGGAACGCAGAGATGCGACACTTGTAGATGAGAAGTTCGAAAAACTAAGCGGGTCGCAAGAAATGGATTGCTCGTAACCTGGAAAGATTGTAAATTAGTGTAAATTGCAAATAAGAACGTAGACATCATTCGCGGAAAACGCAGAAGCATCGAGTGACGCGAGATCTCATACAACGCGGCGAATTGGTCATCGATGACGGCTATTACGTATAAATTTCCTTCTCCATCGATGATATTATTCTCTGAACGCATATAAAACCTATAATGACTTTTGCGTGACGGAAAACCGTGAAGGTCGGGTGATTCTTCTTCTTTAGCAAACAAAATAATGCTGCCTGTCGAAAACTATTTTAAAATGAATTATTTTCGTTTGAACAATACTGGAAATCATGGAACAAATTATACAATTTTAATTCGATCGTTTCATTTTACTTCGGTATGAAAAATTCCAGTCCTTTTGATGAACCGTGAAACGACTCGAGCCTTTCCGTAAACCGCGATGAATGTTCGTAGATTTCGAGGGACCGGTTTCATTCGCAGGTATTCGGGAACCTGGCGGCGTTTACCCCTCTCGCGGCCCGCGATCGTTAACGACGTGGATGAAAGAGCAGTTGGAGACCGGGAGGAAACGAGTGCGTTTGAAAGAAATCAGAATCGAACCGGTCGTAGGTGGTGCGTCTCATTAAGGCGGAGGAAATGATCGCGGATGAATGAACGCCGTCGCGCGTGGGTGGTTCCGATTGCTCAGGCAAATCGTTCCACTTGCCCTCGACAATAAATTGTTGAGAAACGTTTAGTAAAATTCGGATTATTCTGTACTGATAACTATTAGAGAACTTATTTGTGAATGAATAAATTAATCTAATATACCTACGTAATAATAATAATTCATAAGTATACAGGGTGTCCCGGTTTTTAATGGACAAACTTGGGGAGCACATTCCACATGCGAAAATAAGAACAAAATATTACTTGAATTTTTCTCAGAAATGCTTGATTACAAAGTTCATACCGTGTATAAGCTTATATCTAATTTCTATTAAGTAAGTTTGTATCTAAGTATAATAATTGTAATAAGACTCTTTTTATTCAGGTATTCGTAGCCAGTGATTCATTCTGGCATCGCATTCTGAACTTGGTAACGGTTTACTTTTGCTTTTCACGCGTCCCACTTGCCGCATCATGAATGAACCCGATTTCAAGCTCACGTCCTTAGCGAATCGATGAGTCGATGAGCAGAGAAAAGGTTACACGATCGTTCCTAGGTCGATCGATGAAATTCAAGGAGATTGCTCCGGAGATCGTGACGAAGACAAAAGACTCCGGAATTTGTTACCTGGTTTAATTGTGACACTGACCTCGGATTCGATTAGCTCCACCGATTTACAGTTTTAATACGCGTTCTTTATCGAATACGAGGTGCCAAGAAATGGTTACGACCCCTTTAAGCCCGGCCACCATGAGCGCCATTTAACCGTGGAAAACAGGCTGGGAAAAAAGGATGTAATAAGCTGACAAGAAATCGTTCAAGGTAAACATGAACCGGCAGGCGACTTTGATTCCCCTCCTCCTTTCACCCTTTTTCTCGCAGTCACTACTTCCTTCATCGTGGCTCCTTTTCAAACACCGTGAAAGTGAGACTCAAGTAACAAAAAACTCGTCCTCGCATATTAAAAATAGGCATCAATTTTTATTCAGATGTTTTATTAATTTTTTATAAAAATCGTTCATGCATTTATTCATGTAAAAGGAGATGTGAGATCCGAGAGGGTTGGTCGTATCACGTTTTGAAGACGTGTTCGGGCGGGAAGCGGTCGTCACCTGCGGAGCGGTTCGAGGCCTGCCGACACCTGGCGCGCCTCGACTTTGGTGAACACTTTGGTGGGAGTCTACCTACGGAGCCTAGCCTCGTCGAGACGCGCGAAACCGGGGACTTCAGTTGTCACCGCGACACCAACGGAGCAACATTACGTTGTTTAACCATCCGCGATAAATTCCGAATCGCTGTCACGCGAACCCGCGGTCCCGTCGTGTTAAAAGTACAATTTTAATCGACGTCGATTCAACAAGTGTTCGATTCAATCTCGTCCCTCGCTGACTAACGAATCAAGTGTAATTTGTTTCTAATTGTTACTGGGAATTTATCCTACGCCGAGGAAGAAGTTCCCGGAAATTATGCAATCCCGTCGCATTTTTATCTGAAATCCAGTTAAACGGCGGGCGACGAGTCTCAGATCGGCCGATGCGCGGTATCAGGAAGAAGATCGACGGAGCGCGTTTACGACCAGCCGTATATCGCCGATTACGCAGTCCCAGGTATTTATATCGGCCGTACCAATTTCTCTTTCGTTCGATTTTACGCCGCGAAACGAGCAATCGAACGTATATACCCTCGTTTACGGTATAATTTATCGTAGGAAAACAGCGCGCGCGTTAAGCCAGGTGCACACCTGATGGTTTGTCCTTAGCGATAACGCCGACACAATAAACTTGGAAATCAAGGTTTCAAAACACGTTATAAATTTTCTTGTAAGAAAACTGACATCGATCGTCTGTGTATTTTCGCTATAAGTGCCTCTTCTCATGTGCGTGAATGAAACATAAAATTTCTGAGAGAGAACAACGCATTTCCTATAATTAAAAAGAAATCAGACGTCGGAAGAACAATGCTAATAATAATTAGCTACGTGCTAAAAAGTATAGAAGGAAATATCCAATTAAGTATTGATGCTGACGAGAAATTTTTTTTTCTTCAAAATTTCGAAAAATGCTTGAAATAAAAGTTGTTTGTCTTCTAACTTCGATATTTAACGAGTTACGTATGATTATTTGGCATTTTATTGATGTTGACAAAATCCGACCATCCCACCGTCGAAACGGCGAACTTTTGGCAAAAAATTTCGTTTTTCCTTAATTACTCCTGAACCGTTAAATCTACGGAAAAATTGCATAGGACCTTTCTTATAGAGGACGACGAGATCTACAATTTCCATGTAAAATTTTTTTTCTAGCATTAATATTTAACGAGTTATTGACGAAAAACGAAAAAACAGTTTTTTGCAAATTACTCATTAACTATAGACACTAGCGAAACATTTTTACA